TCCTCCTCATCCTCTTACTCTCTCCTCTTCCTGCTCCTAACCCCCTCCCCCTCCTCCTCATCCTCTTCCTCCTCCTCATCCTCTTACTCTCTCCTCTTCCTCGCTCTCTTCTTCATCTCAACCCAATCCCAGCCCCCAGAAACACCCCGGGTCTGCAACGACATCAAGTTATCCTACTCCATCACCGATCGCAAGCAAATCCATCCTCTTCTCTGTTAGACACTAGAGGGGGGGTGATTAGGGTCTTACGCTAATCTAATCCCAATTAATAGCAATTAAAATTATGTTGATTAATTTGTTCTTGCAAGAATAAATATGATATGAATATGAGCAATAAAGATGAATAATATATGTACGCCAACCAAAACACAAACACACGATATGTTCACGAGGTTTGGTCCCCACGACCTACGTCCCCGCTCCTCACCTCGAGGAGATATCCACTATCACAATCCGGTTTGGAAGCCGGAACTTCTACACACTCGGTTTACAAGTTCACCGAAAACTCTCACACTACACAATCACTCAACAAACACACTTTACACACTAAGTGTAGGAACCTAGCCCGTGTCCTCCTCCTCAAGTGCTCGATTACAACCTCTCCCTAGGTTCGTCAATCGACGCCACTCCTATTGGATTTGACCCCGTCTCTCTCTCCTCACACTTCTCTCGGTGTACAAGTGTGTTACAAGTGAATCTCACAAATAAAGGTTCAATACAATGATTTGTTCTCAATTAACAAGTGAGAACACAATAAAGCTCACACTCACTAAATCCCACACTACAACCCATAATATATAATATGAGAATATCAAGCTCAATAAGTGTTTGTGATAATAGTGAATGAAACTCAATAAATATAACTCAATGAATATAGCTTAATCAAATGAAAGTGAAATAATAAGCTATATAGGAAAGAGTTTAGAAAACTTCTCAATGAACAAGAAGAGCTGAAGAAATGATGATTCCAATAGGGTTTGAAAGCCTCTTCTTGTTGTAGAAAAACTTCTCTTGAAAACAGATTGATGAAACAACTCTTAAACAGCTCTTAAACGCAATTAATAACTTGTTAAACAACAAACTTAGATTTCTTGGATGTTGGAGAAGAAGAGCAGCAATGGAGTATATATAGCACCCCAATACAACAGCTAAGAATAAGTAAAAGACCAAAAAGTCCATTTGAAAAACTAGCCGTTAGGCTCATTCTTGTTGGCCTTCTTGTTTTGATGATGATTTACAAATAATTTACTACTAATGTTGTTTGTCTAGTGTTTGTGTATTCCTATGTATTATAGACAAACAACATTGTTGGAGGTTGGATGGATTGCGCTTCAACGATGATATCCAAAGGAGGTTGGCGGAATGTCGGGTCGAAGCCTATACAATTCAAGTTAAAGATCAAGTTCAAGCTTCATCCGCAAAGTTTACCAAGATAGAGCTTCATTAAAGATCAAGATTGCTTGGGTAAATTTAGTTTAGGATTTATATTATGTGTGTTAGATACTCTAAGCTCAATATAATATACACACACGTATTTGGTTTCTATGTATATATATAGTTATATATATACATGCATGGTTTTAGGTTTTCATGTTTTGGACATACTTGCAAAATACATGAGTTTTCACAAATGGAAATTCAATTTGAGAAATTCTTTTTCTAACATGTTTGTTTTCATGTTTATAAACATTTCGTAAAGTTTCATCAAGTTTGGAATTGATTTGTTATGTTTAATGGAATTTACAAAATCATGTTTTTCGTTCGTGCATGTTCGTGCATGTTTTACAAAATAGATGAGTTTTCATAAATGGGAAGTGATATTCAAGAAATTCTTTCTTTGACATGTTTATATACATGTTTACAAACTTCCCTCAAATTTTTACTATTTTTAGAGTTGATTTACTGTGCCCAATTGATTTTACAAAATCGTATATGTTAACAGTTTTTTAGAAACTGTAAATTTGTGTTCAAACATTTATTTCTCTAAACTGGAAAATGCTTTTTCAGAAATTATTTCTCTGACATGTTATTCTACATGTCTAGAACATTCTCACAAAATTTCATAATTTTTGGAGTTTATTTACTATTTTAAATTGATTTTACAAAATAGCTGCGTACTGCTACAGTACTCCGGTCGACCGGACCGGTCGACCGGAAATGTCTCTGGACGTTTCTCAGCTTTGCATATGCCTCTCGGTCGACCGTACCGGTCGACCAAAATACTGTAGCAGCCGACTGTTGCTACAGTAACGGCTAGTTCTGTTTTTTGTTTATTTTAATATTTTGGATGTGTTTTTCTTGGTTTTTGGACTTGTTTCATGAGCCTATATATAACTTTTTAACGGCTCTTTCTCTGAGCTGTTTGCTGGGGTTTTTGGTCATTTTGTTTTGGGGGTTTTTGCTGAGATTTCTAGTGGGTATATATACCCCATTGCTGATGTCTTTTCAAGTGAGCAAGAGAGTTTTAAAAACAAGTTTAAGAAAGTTTTAATCAAGGGTTTATGTTTGGTTTAAGTGTGTTTATAAGCTTTTAAGCATTTGAGTGTTTTGGTTTTGTGAATCACTTCCACAAGAGCTTGAGGAGATCATCTATTGGTGTTTGAGCATCCAACTCTTCTCCTTCCACTCTTGATCTATTGAGAAGTTTTCTAAACTCAATCTAGCTTTATATTTTATATTGTTTGATTGTCATTTTATTAAGCTAGTGTTCATATTGAGTTTAGTTGATTTTATTATCTCTTTGTTCACACACAACCTATTGAGCTTATTGTATTTACATTCATAGTATAATTGGGTTGTGGGATTGTGTAACTTAGAGAGTGAGCTTATAATTTGTTCTCATTCATTGTAGAGAACAAATACTTTGTATTGAGCCTAATTGTGAGGATTCACTTGTAATACACTTGTACACCGAGAGAAGTGTGTGGTGAGAGACGGGGTCGAATCCAAGAGGAGTGGCGTCGGTTGACGTGCCTAGGGAGAGGTTGTAACCGAGCACTTGAGGAGGAGGACACGGGCTAGGACCAACACTTAGTGTGTGAAGTGTGATTGCATAGTGATTGTATTGTGAGGTGTAAACGTTGTTCGGGTGAACGTAGAAAACCCGGTTGAGATAGTAGAGATCTCCTCGAGGTGAGGAGCGGAGACGCAGGTCGTGGGGACCGAACTCCGTGATCATATCGTGTGTTTGAGTTTGTCATTGGCGTTCTTTTTCATTCATGCCTATTGTTTATATCGCCTTTGTCATTTGCTCTTAGTTCATTTTATCCACTATCTTGTTTATCTTGTTTATGTTTGTATCACCCTTAGTTTCATATCCTTGCATATAACTCATATTATATCTCATTGCTAGGATATATCCCTTGTTCATATTGCTTATCCTAGATCACATATCTTGTTGTATTTTATTCTTGCTAGGATAACGTATTAATTAATTTTAATTGGCATTTAATCGGATTAGATTAGCATAAGACCCTAATCACCCCCCTCTAGGGTCTAACAATTCTGACAATTCGTCGGTCGACCGGTAGGGTCGACCGATTAGTTCAAAAACTCAGAAAAACGAAGTTTTAGAGCTGGCGGTCGACCGACGTAAATTTCGGTCGACCGGAAATTCTCTCGGTCGACCGGTGCGGTCCAATTCATATCCAAAAATAGTGAAACTTTGGGGAAAGTTTATAAATGATGAAATGAACATGTTTGAAAAGGAATTTTTGGAAAAACAAATTTCGTTTGTGAAAACTACCTGTTTTTGAAAAATGATTAGAAAACCTGTATTTTTATGAAAGTGAAAGTTTGATATAGGACTTGTAAATATTCATATATATATTGTGCATATAATATATGTATATAGTGAAGTATGAAGGAGCTGTAAATATGAGATAAAGTATTTTAACAACGTTTAATGAAAAATCATCTATATGATAGAAAACGTCAAAAATCGTGTTAAGTGTATATATATTGAGCTTAGATATAATCATACTATATATGTAAGTAAACTAAACATATACCTAGGTAAATCCACGCAAATGAACTTGAATCTTTAACGCTTGATTAACGCGTGTTGAAATACCTGAAAAAAAAACATAAACACAAAACACTAGAAAACTTATTAGTAATAAATTGTTTGTCAAATCATCATCAAAACTATAGGGTCAACATTCTCAAGGACCCCAAAGCCCAGCCCAACTCCTTCAAAGCCACGGCCACCGTCCAAAACAACGGCCTCGCCGAGCTCAAAGCTTGGTCCCTCCTTATTCAAGTCCAGCACCAAGAGCTCATCGTCTTCGCCAATGGTGCTGTCCTCAACAACAACTCCCTGTTCCCCTTCAACACCTCAGACTCCGATGGCCTCGCCTCGTTCTCGGGCTTCCCGAGCCCAGATCTCAAAACCCCCCATAGAGACCGCTGGAGATTTGACCCAGATTCAGGAACAGATCGACCTCGTCAGGACTTTCTTCGAGTCACCTCTACCCGCTTACCCTTTGCCCAAATCGATATCTCTCGACGACCCTTTATACATCTGCCCATCACCGAAGTTGGGTTTCAATTCGAGCAGTTCGCCAATCGGAGTAGTCGCGAATGTTTGGGAGCAGGATGAGGAGGAGGAAGAGGAGGAGGAGGAGGAGGAGAGGGAGGGGAGGGGGTTAGGAGCAGGATAAGTTTTTTATAATGGACTTTTATGCAAAAAATCTCATCAACACTAGCCGGAACAGTAACTCCGGCCAAACTTAAGGCCAATATAGCGCCGGAGTTGAAAATTTATACCAATCTGACAAAACTTAAAAAAAAATATACCAACTTGTCACCAAGCCTCAAGAATTTATGCCAATCTAGCCATTTTTAGTGTTTTAGCATGAATTTTCATTTCCAATTTTTTTTCGGAAATGAACCAAACAAGCCCTTAGTTAGAACCTTCAAACATAGTAAATTAAAATTTCCTCTATTCCTTCTGTTAAACTCTCAAACAAAATATATTAATGAACTCCCAAAGACATTGTTGCAACAGAAAACTTTAAAAATTCAAAGTTATCTTCTCCCTGCTTATCATTCAAGAAAAGTTTCATCCTTAATAATTTTTCTTCCACAGGTTGCTTGCTCTCCAATCTTCGAACTGTAATTAAAAATTTACTCTCCTTTCTCAGAGCAGAGATAAGCTTAGAGAGAGAAGACAAGAATCCAGGTGGCGATCAGCGAGCGGGCGTATGAAACCCTTAGCCCAATATTTTTCTCCCATTTGTTCTCTCCTTTTCTTCTCTTTTTTTAGTTTATTGTTTGATTTTTGTCGGCTTTTATACTTTCTGCTCCCTACTCTACTTGCCCCTAGGTTTTCCCAAAGCCAACGCTTCGCTGTCCTCCCCCAATCTCAATCATCGCTGCTTCAATTGGTAGTTCTTTGGTGTTCTTTTGATCTTTTTTTTTTGGGCGATTTTGCCCTAGGTTTTGGCTTAATTTGATTGTGAGAAAGTAGTGTGCTTTTTTAAGCGAAGGGAGAAGATGGGAGCGGTGCTGATTGCAATTGCTGCTGCGATTGGGAATCTTTTGCAGGGTTGGGATAATGCTACCATTGCTGGTAAATTTCTGCTTTTTTTGTTTTTTTTAATCTCTCATTTATGTGTGAATTTTCAAGGTTTCAATGCCAAAAGTTTGGGTATTTAACTTGTTAGAGTATAAAAATATAAGTTTCAACCCTCACTCCAACTTCGGAGAGTTTTGGTGCACTGGAAAGTACAGTTGGCAAGCTTTAATTTTTAATTTTGACGGTGTTAACTATTTTTACAGTAATAAACACGTGTAAATGATAAAATTTTGTTCTTGGCGATGTTCTTAATGGTATGAATTTCTAAATGTTTTTATTTTGATTTTCTTAATCAGTATGATATCAATATCTTAATGGTAAAAGTTTGAATGTGAAACATGAAGTTTGAAGAAGGGTGAACTATCTATGGTGTTTAAGTTAACACATGAATAGTAATTTTTTTGGTATTTAATGATTTTCTTAATGGTATTATTTTACTCCAGGGGCTGTTCTTTACATAAAGAGGGAATTTAACTTGGACAGTGAACCACTTATAGAGGGTTTAATTATAGCTATGTCTTTGATTGGAGCCACTCTCATCACTATTGTCTCGGGAGGCATATCTGACTCTATTGGTCGCCGTCCAATGCTAATCCTTTCTTCAGTACTCTATTTTGTCAGCGGTGTCGTTATGTTGTGGGCTCCGAATGTCACTGTCCTTCTCGTTGCAAGACTTATAGATGGCTTTGGGATCGGTATATGTGTAACCCTTGTCCCTCTATATATTTCTGAGACAGCCCCTTCAGACATAAGGGGGTTGTTGAATACCCTTCCACAGTTCACTGGATCAAGTGGGATGTTTATATCATATTGTATGGTTTTTGGAATGTCGTTAATGGCGAAACCTAATTGGAGACTTATGCTTGGGGTTCTCTCGGTTCCTTCTTTATTGTATTTTGCATTGACAGTGCTTTATCTGCCTGAGTCGCCAAGGTGGCTTGTTAGTAAAGGGCGCATGCTTGAGGCAAAGCATGTTTTGCAAAGGTTACGGGGAAGAGAAGATGTCTCAGGTTAGTATGTTATGAATTTTCGTGTGTAATATTCTTTCCATATAATCTCTTAGCATTTATTGGGTCATGACGGGATTTACTTCATTATTACATCTTTTATTTCATATGTCTCCATTTATGAATTTATCGCATGTATGATTTTTACCAAAGGTGTTCTTTTTAAAATTTTACCTATTGCTAATGCATCCATAATAGCTTATGCTGCATTAGTCACAGTGTTTATAATTTACAGTTTTACAGGCTAGCTATATATAGTAGAAATTTCCATCAGCTTTTGAGGCTTTATTTGCTGGTAAATGGAATGAAACATGAAAAGAGATTTATTGGAAAGTTGGAAAGAAGTCTTAATTGTTAGTAGTTATTAACATATTGCATAATTGAGTATGCATTTGTAGACTGCATAATTGAAGTGAAACTTTAGCTGCTAACAATATAATATTGTTTGAACAGTTGATCAATTCTTTTTAATAAGAACATTGCTAAGGCAATGTCTTTTATCAAACAGTCTTTATGTTATTGATATCGAAGATGTTTTGTCTTGGTCCTAGCTTATGAAGTTCTACGTGAAACTACCATGATTCAAGAGCACACCATTTCATATATATTGGATATTTTGGCTGTAAGAGTCATTGTCCAAAAAGTTTCAGCTTTTTTTTTGTATGACCTGTCCAATCCCTCTCTGTACACCAACCCCACGCCACACAAATGGAAGCACAAGTTCTGGTGATGCTATCTGAAAAAAACAATCCAGGCAGTTACATTTTCAAGCATCTCATCTAAGGCATTAGGTAACTCCGTAACTGCTGAACAATCTTGTGTATAAGATGACCTGATATGATGCAAGTCATGGAAAGTCAGTTGGAGTGGATATAGTATACAACATGAATCGTTCAAGTCATCGCCAAGTATGTGCAGGGATCAACTTTTGGACATATCCTAACAGTGTTTCAATAATGTTATATACACACTAACAAGTTAAAATTTTTATTCATTATCTAATTGAATTGTAGATGCAGATATGCAATTTTCTTACTTTGCTCATGAAGGATGATCACATGTGATTTTTATTTTATATTTTGAATTGTGTTACTTGGGATTTTATCTCGTAATATTTGAGTTTCATGTTTATGTGAAATGTACATATCCACATATGTAGGTAATGTAAATTAAAAGCGAGCATTTCCTACTATCTTAATTTTGCTAAACTTGGAGTTTGGTTGCATTCATATATTGTCGTAAATTCACATATTTGTATTCATCCATCATTAATGTACACTTAACAAGCTTAGTGTTAGTTTTTGACTATTTGGTCCTTATCAACTTTTTTTCCCCAGCTGATAGTGTCACTGTCAAAAGATCCTGATCTGTCTGGTCTAAATTAATTTTGGTTTTAAATTGAAATTTTGTCTTTATTGGTGTCAGAGATTGGTGGGCTTAGCTCCAAAGCCACCACCGTAACATCAAAACCCAAGCACTTCTTCTTTTTGTTGGTGTTGCTAGAGTTTATTGTTTCAGCATAAGCTGCTACCAATACATCGTCTTATGTTTTGGGTAGATGGAAAACAAAGTAAGGTATAAAACGGAAATTGACTTCAATGTTTGAACAAGAAAATCATCTAACTCGAATGGCGATACATTTTTAAGATAGTAAAAGATTACGGGTTTGAAAAGATGCCCTGTTTAACCTAAACATCTTCAACAAGTAGCTATCATTATGTAGCACCTTGAGAATTTCTCTCTGTTGGCATTATTTGGTAATAGATTGAAAGTGAAACTGTACAAAATGCCAAACCAAAATTTATGGAGGATACTCAAACTAAAGTCTATATTAGGCCATGGCTGAAGTATAGGGTCTAGACCAATACATGAATTATATTAAATTTTAAGTAGCTAATCTGATCCGGCTGAAACTGACAATATAGTTATATTGGCAAATATTGGCTAGAATGTTGCTATTGGCTAATGACGACTAAAATTTGAAAGTTTGATTTGATCGTGTTATATGGGTAAAATTAATAAAGAAAGCCATGAATAAAAACTTTTGATTAAGCTCTAACTTATTCCATATATCAATAACTTTGATCTCGATCTACCAAAACGATCAAACTCTTGATAAGGATGTTAATAAAGGCGAATCAAAAACCACAACCATACTGGTATCTTAGACCTTGTTTTAGAATTCTATATTTGAGAGCCTCTAGTTTGTGAAAGTTTCCAGTTATGTGAATGGGAGGGCAGGATGTTTCAAGGTAGCCGATCTTTGGGGAACTAATCAAAAGTATATAACCACAAAGATCTCGTTAAATAAATTTTAAAAAGTAGGAAATTTGTAACAAATCAATTTCTAAGGATGGAAAGTATATTATATTCTTTATTAAGCAGTAAAGGAAGTAGGATAACGCTGTTAGTCTAGTTGACATCCAATTCCTATTAGGGTTTTAGGGTACATAATAAACCACCAAATTTCATGGAAAAAGGGATTTAGTGCGGGAGAGGAAATTTTAGTTGAGGTGACCAGGAAAGAGAAAAGGAAAAGAGAGAACTAGTTGGCCAGAATTGAAATATAATATTCAATTCATTCATTTTTTAAAATCTAATTTCTGATTTCATCATTTGTTTGGTTTTTGTATGCAATTCTAACTAAAATTAAACTAATCTTAACTAACCCATTCAAGTCAAATTCCAGTAAATAGTAAAAATGTAAGATATGATCGTAATCAAAAGATAATGCTTATGAACTATTTAACTTACAACAGCAATGCCTTTATCACAAAATTTTGGGGTCGGCTAATAATGCTACTAAAGGATAGAATTGGATTCAAAAGCTGGAGTGTGAGGTGGTTCTCATGAATCAACAGTACTGATCAGATGACACCATTGTTTTAAATATCGGCCGATAATCGATATTATCGGCCGAGTTATCGGATTTTTGAGCTCTCCGTTAGGATAAGTTGGTTTTGTAATCGGTTATCGTTTTGGAGAGATTATCGGCGAGTTATCGGCATTATCGGCACTTATCGGCCGATAAGTAAGGCTAAATTATCGGTATTATCGGGATTATCGGCCAGACATTTTGAGTTGAGTTGTTGAGTTTTTAAAACCCGACCCGATCTGTTTTGTTAATAATATGAAACTTAAAATCCGAAACTTTGTGAACTCGACCTTCAAACCCTAACTTCGTCTCTAGCGGCTGCTCCTTTTCTCGTTGGGCGCTTCCTCCGTTATCTCCATCTCATGTTCTTTGCGCCTCTTCGTCACTCGCCTTCGTGAATTTCAACCTTGAACTTCGTCGCTCGCTTACCCTTTGTCAACCATGTTTTTTTTGTCCGGAAACATGGCTATATACACATGCTGTGAGCTTTCCTTCTCTTGTAATACCTTCACGCACTCACTTTCTCTTTTGAGTAATATCATTTCTATAACTATTCTTTTATCATACTTTGCTTTTTTGTTTTTCCTGTAACATAGACTTATATAAGAAATTAGTGAATAAACTGTACATACTTTACTTTTCTGTTTTGGTATGTTTATATTTCATTAAGCATGGTTAGATTACATTTTTTAGTAGTTATATTATATATATACATCATCCAGTATATTGCTCCGATAAATACTACTTATCCCCGATATATCCCCGATTTTCGCTATCCGATAAGGATTTTGGTCATCCAATAAATCCCTGATAACCGATATTTAAAACCTTGGATGACACCTCTCATAACTAAATCTGCTAATACATCCTGCTTCAATACAAGTCGTGGGTAGTAAAAATTGATATTAGCCCCTGTAAACTTTATAATGATCAGGTGACACCTTCCATATCTAAATCTGCTAATACATCCTGCTTCAATACAAGTCGTAGGTAGCTTAATTTGATATTAGCCCCTGAAAAGTTTATATTTTAAGTAAGCCCTTCTTCAAATTTGGGGTCCAACTTATAATGGTTCTTTTCAGGGATCCTAAATAACCATTTTTTTAAAACCTTAAGTTGAAGGGTTGTGGGAAGGTTGTACAGGGAGGACATGATTACTACTACATCTGCATATCTTTCCCTTTGTGAATATAGTTGTTGTTCCCATTTCCCAACGAAAGTAAATATTTATAATTTTTACAAATTTAGATATTGTGAAATACTGAGATTAGTCTGATAATACTCGTATGTTAATAAATAGGACAAAAGGTTGTAGAGAAAACTGGAGTAGTCTCCTTAGTCTTTTCTTACTGAAACGTAAACAATTCTACTAGGTTTAATCAAGAGATTACATCATTTTCGTATTAGATGTACCTAAATATATATATTTATACAGTAACAATTCAGACATTTATTTTGAATGCTCTGCTTCAACCTGATGCATATCCATGTTTTAAGTTGACACTCTAAGTTGCATGGAAAGGGGTACGAGTATTGGTATGGTTAGGGTACGGGTACGGGACACGGCAAAACTGTAAAATATAGGGTATGGGGACACGGCTATATATATATCAAGGTTTTAAATATCGGATATCGAGTTCATGTCAGACGGCTAAAATCCATGTCGGATAGCGAAAATCGGGGATATATCGGGAGAGATGGACTAAATATCAGATTGTCATATCGGGTGGTGCACATATGTATAATTTCATGTCCTAAATGTAATCTAAGCATTCCTAAATTCAATATAAGCATACTTTATAAATTTTATAGACTAAACATATAAAAAAACTGAATTTGCAAAGTCCTCTTACTCAGCATACTTTATAAATTCTATAAAAAGTAAAGACTCATCACCCCCGAATAGATAAGACTAGAATTTTCTCCCCTCTTTGATTATCCACAGAATTGCTACCAGACTGTCACATAAAGAAGAAACGCAGAAACTCTTTGAGTATTACATGTTTATATCATTAGATGATAAACAGGGATTATTACGAGAAACCAGGGATTATTATTAAATGATAAACAAGGATCATTACGAGAAATCAGCCAGATGTCTTGTTTTCCCAACGTGCTGCCTAAAACATGTTGCCAAACATTGAATATTCTACAAATGAATAATTTACAGCAACAAAAAGCATGGAGCTATTTGAATAATAATATATAATAATATAATGTAATGTAACAAAAAATAGTAAAAACAAGGGGAAACAGTAAATTAAGACATTGAATAAGATAAACAAGATGAAATCAACACTAAAACCCAGATGATGTGAAAATCTTCTAAATGTAAAGGTTTTGAAGAAGAAGAGAGAGAGAGAGAGAGAAACAGACAGACGATGAGAAAGGGACTCATACCTGACGGCTAAATAAGCTAAGGAAAGCTGCAACTTCGACTTCGCGCAGGGAAGAAAGAGAGGAGAAGGCGACGCTGGAGATGATGGACTTTGATGTCGCAGGGAGGAAAGAGAGGAGAAGCCAGCGATGTGAGGAGAACGAACACAAGACAAAGAAGACGAAGGCGGCTGATGGGTTGCCAGTCGTAGCCCTAGGTTTTTTTCGTTTTTTCTTTTGAACGGGTTCGTTTCTGTCTATCGGCTTCAAAAACAGACCCTTAACATCAGAACAGGTCATATGGGGTTGGGTTTTCAAACCCAAACTCAATAAGGAAAAAAACGTTTTAAACCGATAATGGAACATATCGACTGATTTTTCGAAGCTGAAAAGTCGGCCGATATGCCTGATATATCTCCGACATATCCGATTTCCTCCTGAAAAACGACATGCAACATAAAATTGCCTGATTTGTGTCGTTCGAACCCTAATTATGACATATCGGTCGACATTTAAAACACTGATATATATATATATATATATATATTATATTATATATATAGAGCAAAAACTTGTCACTTAAGTGGACATCCATAAACTTTTTTAACTTAGATGTTTCCTAGGGTCCTTGATGTATGAGTGACTTTTTATATGTTAAATAAGTGGATTATAAAGTTTGGTGGACACACTTCCTATTACATAAGTTGACACAAGTTATACTCGAATATATATATATATATATATATATATATGGAATATGGGTTGCTTGTACAGACAAAATTGTGTTGGTATGAGATGTCACATCTCCCTTCACTCTCATCCCAAATTGGGATATTTACATGGGTAGTGAGTGGATGAGATTGTGACACCATCACTGACAAGCACAAAATCGTGCTTGGTACTAAGCATAGCGCATTTATATATATATTATATATATATATATATATATAATATATATATTATTATATATAATATAAATATAGAAGACGAGGAAGAGCGAGAATTGGTACCAGTTAATGCCATGAACTTGGTTTGACGTGGACTTCTTGTCCTACATTCTCCAGCATGAGTAGAGTGAAAAGTGGTGATGATCTATTTCAGTAGTAATGTAGGGTCAATCAGTCACAATCACTACAAGTTCATGTAGCTACTTGGTACCAATGTTACTATTTTCCATATATATATATATAAACACTATATTATATGAGGTGACTTATCCCCTCAATTAAGTGGAGCAAGAGGATTTGTCCACTAAACTTCTAGCCAATCATAATATATATATATATATATATGTAAAGTTTCTTCATTCTTGCATGGGCCCTAGGTATATCAATGAATAGAAAGTTTGGTGATGTCCTACAGTTGACATAGTATTCTCAATTATATATATATATATACTAGATATATATATATATATATATATATATATAGAATTAATAATATACATGAAATCATTTTTTCCGCTTCATGCGTCATTAGAATTAAAATTACAATCACATTTTTAAGTTTCTTTAATCATATTGATGATCATAAATTGAACTACTCATTTTTTTCATTAGACATCCAAACAACCCTTTAATTATATAGTTTAGAACTTGGGTATGGACTGAAACGAATCCGACCCATATCTAATTGGTTTTAAGAAAAGGATGTGAAGCTATGTTACCCTGACACGAAATTTTTGGTCCCGTACCCGTGTCGGGTAGACGGGTACGTATTGGGTGCGGATCCGCACCCAAACGACAGGGACACGGCTACTTCACTCGCGAGGGAGAAAAAAAAACAAACCTGAAATTTTGTCTTCGCCACCTTGAAATACCGCTACTTCACTCGCGAGGGAGAAAAAAAAACAAACCTGAAATTTTGTCTTCGCCACCTTGAAATACCGAGTGCTCTGAAGCGATTCTGCCTTCACTATCTTCAAACCCATCGATTGAAGCGACGACCCCATCAACGGAAGCGACGAATCCTGCTCCTCGACGACAAATCCTGCTCCTCAACGACGAAATCAGGAGCCTCGACGAAGCAATTTCAGCGCCTCGATGACGAAACAACTCCTCGACGACGAATCGTGTTCTTCGACGACGACGAAAACCCTAGAGATTGGCGAGAAGAAATGGGAGGAGGCGACGAAGACGGAGGAGAAATTGGAGGCGGCGGAAACCCTAGAGGGGGGAGGTTGAGGTTTTATATGGGGAGGGGTTTGGGTTTTTTTCTTCGCCCGTTTGTTTTTTATATGGGGAGGGGTTTTGGTTTTGGTTTGGGTTTTATTTAGAAGGGGGGTTTGGGTTTGGGTTTGGGTTTTATATGGGGAGGGGTTTGGGTTTGGGTTTATATAAGTAATAATATTAGTTCAAAATTTTTAATTAAAATAAAAATAGTTTTCTATTTCTTATGCAAGGAATATAGTTTTAATTTTGGAATATGCTAGTTAGTTGTAAGTTTTTGGGATATAGTACTAACTTTTGGAGATATATTGTAACTTTAAACAATATATTGTAATATTTTGAGCGATGTTTGTCATATTTTGGGGTATATTTGCAAATGTAATATGTATTTAATTCAATATTGATCTAAAGTTAATTATTTTATATATACAGTCGTGTCCCTGTACCCTATTTTTTACAAATTTGCCGTGTCCCCATACCCGTACCCGCACATGTACCCGTATCTAGGCAACATAGATGTGAAGGGTAAGCTATACATCCAAGAAGTGCTTGACAAGTGGTTTAAATTAACACATATATCGTATAATTGAGTACATGTTATAATAAATGCATGCATATATTCAAGAAGTGTCCATGAAGTTTGGGTACGGGAAAGTGTCAGGTACGTGTCCGGTACAGGTACGACTTCGTTATAGAAGTACTCGGGTAACATAGGTTGACAGATATTGAAGACCATTGCTTGATAGAAAATGAATAAAACATAGATTCAGACTTCTTTTTTTTAACCCTTAGTCCTGGTTTACTACATAGATCAAGTCATTTTAAATATTTAATATCGAACAACACCTTGCATATGACTTTAGGCCACGTAGGAAGGCCTCGATAGAAAAAGTGGTTACAAGGAAAGGTTGAGAAGCCAGGGTAAAAAAAAAATTGTTCAGGATAATATATCTGCAGCTCATTCATTGACCTCACCTTCCTGTCATGTTTCCTTGCTCTGTCTGCATCGATAATTTTTGTCAAAGTGTTCTTCTCTGCTAGAGAGAAAATATTTATTGAAAGGCTATAATTTTTGTTGAGTCTCAATAGCCTTTGAACGAACTCTCATATCATATCTATCTGCTATTAGCTTGCTGAGAAGATATGACCAGTTCACTAACTTTAAAATCATATTCTTCCTGTACATATAACCATTTACGCGAGAAAGGATTTAAATGAAAATATTTTGCTGGTATTTTTTGTCCACAGGAGAATTGGCTCTTCTTGTTGAAGGCTTGGCAGTTGGTGGGGATATTTCAATTGAAGAATATATAATTGGACCTGCTGATGAGCTTATTGACGAGGACCCAGCAGCTGAAAAAGAAAAGATTATGTTACATGGGCCTGAAGCAGGCCAGTCTTGGGTAGCTCGCCCCGTTAAGGGAGAAAGTGTCCTCAGAAGTTCTCTAGGTAGTGTCTTCCGCCAAGGGAGCCTGGCAAACTCGAAGATCCCTCTTATGGACCCTGTCGTCATTCTTTTCGGAAGCGTCCATGAAAAGACGCCTGAATTGGGAGGAAGTATGCGAAGTACGTTATTTCCCAATTTCGGTAGCATGTTCAGTGTGGTTGGTCAGCAACCCAGAACGGAGCAGTGGGATGAAGAGATTGGCCAAAGGGAGGGTGAGGGTGAGGGTGAGGGTGAGGTTGAGGTTGAGGTTGAAGGTGAGGATTATCCATCTGATGCTGAAAGGAGTGATATGGATGAAAATTTACAGACTCCTCTGCTTTCTCGTCAAACAACGAGCATGGAGGGCAAGGACATTGTCCCTCATCAAGCTTCTCATGGAACTACTTTAAGCATGAGACAGAGCAGTCTTTTGCAAACTGGGGATGCAGTCAGTAGCATGGGTATTGGGGGTGGATGGCAACTGGCTTGGAAATGGGCGGAAAGAGAAGGAGCAGATGGGCTTAAAGAGGGGGGATTCAAGAGAATTTATTTGCGTCCAGAGGGTGTTCCTGGGTCACAGAAAGCTTCTATTGTTTCTCTTCCTGGAGGTGACTTCCAAGGACCTGAGGTTGTTCAAGCAGCAGCATTGGTGAGTCAACCTGTGCTTTTTTCAAAAGAGCTGATGGATCAACATCCAGTTGGACCAGCTATGGTTCATCCGGCAGAGGCAATTTCTAAAGGGCCAAGGTTGGGAGAACTTTTCAATGCTGGAGTCAAGCATGCACTGCTTGTTGGAGTTGGGATCCAAATTCTTCAACAGGTATAATTGTCTTTATTGTGTAGCATGGCATTTGTATTGTGTGAATAAATGAGAGGCTAGATTTTATGTCATTATCTGTCATGAGCACTTCCCTATTACCTTTTTCCTTAAACACAAATTACAGCTGACTCGGACACAAAATATACTTGCATGTTGCATTTTATATGAAAGATAATTAGACCTTAAGTCATTCCCATTATTTCCGAGTGGGCCAAACCTTAACCTGGATGACCCTCGAGTGTTCCACCAAAGTGATAAAGCTAAGACATGGAGCTGCATGATGAACCATTATCAAGGGCTGTTATACAAGGGCTGTTATACCAAATTGTGTTGGTAGTAGGAGCTTGTCATCCTAGAGGTGGTAATACCAGTTTGTTTGTAGGAGATTTAACCATAGGGCTTTAATAATAGACTGAAACCATTTTAAGCTTAAAAGTTAACTCATTGAGATTTATATTGCAATCCCATATTAAGATTTAAACACTCATATTCCCACTCTTTTTTATGATGACTGAATTTTAATTTCTTTTCTTTTAACCAGATGCGATGCATACCCAGTAGAGCTCCTGTTATTGTGAATAAAAGTGAAATTTGGGTTCAGCTAAGAAAGCTGGGAAATTTCTGCCCTGCTTATAGCTAAGTTGTTTTGTTTATAATGCAAAGGTGAAATTTCACCAGGGGTGCAAGACAAAGAAATCACCTATATGAACTGGCCATCTCAAGATTAATCCCTCGCTTTTAGGGTAAAAACTGTGAAATGTTGACTAAATGTAGAAGTCAATTCCAAAGCGCGTATAGGTTTGGCCCTTTCAAACTTCTCCAATGAAATTTGATAGTAGAGCTCCTCAATTGTGTCATGGCTTGGGACAATATTCTGTTCATCAGAGAATCACAAGGTAAAAAAAATTGAACTAAACAATCATTTATGAGGTTAGTCCTATTATCAGATTAAGCATATGGAATGATTCTTTAATTGGTTTATGGAGACCATGCTTTCTGTTAGAAAATCAAAATTAGAAAAATTAGCATACATTTAATTATTCTGAGTTTCCTCATGCTCTTTCATCTTAAACTGATCATATTCCTTTCATGAGATATAGTAGGGCAAACACAACACTTTTGTCGTTTCTAAAGAAATGTACTTGATTCCCATGTTGGAGAAAGTCTAAATGATATCTGTATTGTTGACTCAATTGAATGGATACAAGTAATGATGGATGTTAAATGAACTGTTCCTTGAAATTCTCTTGGAATTTTTGAAATCTAATAACTTTCATACTAGTGAAATTTTCTCGTCTTTCATTATTTACTCATAGGTTAGTTTTCCTTGAAGATCACGGATAACTGTCATAGTTTATGCTTTCCTTTAAGCAGATCAATGTCATTCAATTTTTCTCATCTTTTTGCAGTTTGCTGGTATAAACGGTGTGCTCTACTACACCCCTCAGATTCTAGAGCAAGCAGGAGTTGACGTTCTTCTTTCAAACATTGGCATAAGTGCAGATTCAGCATCTATTCTTACAAGTGCTCTCACAACCTTGTTAATGCTCCCAGCTATTGGTGTTGCCATGAGGCTAATGGATATATCAGGCAGAAGGTCATTTATCAACTCTTTCCTCTTGCATAGTATCTTTTATCAAAAAAATGCACAACAATTCTGGTGTTGGAGTCAGCTTAGGCTATTACTGATAGAATTCAATATGCAGATATTATAGATTCAAATTTTAATTTTGATCCTCTAAATTGAAACCTGTATTGTTGGACCTAAAGGTGATTTCGATGTCTTTTAACCATGTATCTTATGTTGTAAAGTTTAGCATTTCATAATTTTCATAAAATCAAATAGTTTCTCATTTTGTAGTTTGGTTCTGAAAGTATTTGTATTTTCAATACCATATAATATATATATATATA